ACGTAGCTTCCCTGTGTCTTTTCTATAAATACTTTCAGTTTCATGGTAATTTGTTGTGATGAACATGGTATCTAGACTTTATGAATTTAAGCGCAGTACTAGATTGGCGGCAAGGTCTCATCACTTTACAGTTGAAATGGCTAGATGTAACCGTAGCCAATACCAGTTTCTTTTATCGCGTATCTCGCTTGTGGAATTCTCTTCTGGCTTCTTGCTTTCCAGTTAACTTTGATCTTCAAAAATTTAAATGTTATATTAATCGTTATCTGTTGTCTTCTTGATTCTTGTTCTTTTATTGTCCTCTCTCTCTCCTTAGTAGTAGTTTTCTCATATTCTTTAACACTTAGTGACCTCTTGTGTCCTAGTGGCTTTATTGCCTTGCTTAAGGTGAAATGATTAAAAAACAAAATTAATCAAACAAATCTATTATTTTGTTTAGCCTGGCGCAAGGCCATAGCAGAGGAGCACCACTAGAAAAATTAATAAACGCTAATTGGTCCCCCAATTGGTAGTCTTTTTTGCCGGGTTGAGAGATTATTATTTCTTGAGAAGTATCATTCGTGTGTGTGTGTGTGTGTGTGTGTGTGTGTGTGTGTGTGTTGTGGGGGAGGGGTGATTAAATCTTTCATTCAGCCATTAAACTAAACTGGAATACGTGAATATGACGTCATTTAGAATAAAAATGTCCCTGCGTACTTGAGCTTGCATTATTTATTTAAGCTCTCACCTCATGAATAATGCCTTCTTTATAAATGCATATATAAATAAATAATTAAATAAATAGTAACAAAATAGGTGATCAAATAGTGCAAATATCTGGAAATACGGTGGAAGTTTTACATATAAAAAAATCTCAAAACAGTGGAAGGGTATTATTGTCCGGGTAATTTCATAAAGATTCCGACAGAAGTGTTGTCAAAGAAGCTGCTACGGTTACTAAGAAATTAAAAACGTTTCTGAGTAAGTTGAATTATAAGGAAAAGAAATTAGAAAATTTAAGAATCACACGCAAGTAAAAGAATTTTTTTTTCTAGATAAGGAATGAGAGAAAAAAGAACGTCACCTTTCTTATTCTGAATATTAAAAAAGACGAATACAATAACAGACAAGGCCCGAAATTATGCTGTGAAATCTAAAAGATACAAACATTTATCATACAGCTATAAAACAATATAACAAAGTACAAATTTTACAAAAAAGGCTTGCACAAAAATTTCTTTTCATGCGTCTTATTATGAACACGACAAGATGACGTTAACAAAATTATAGAAATAATTGGCTCTAAAAAAAAAAGATTTATATATATTTTTCAAATCATGAAAAAAAAAACTTTAGGTGATATCAAAACTGTCGAAAATGAAAGTAATTACTCTTAAGGTGCACCCACCGAATAAAACGAAAAAAACCTACGTGTTTTGCCTTGGGGAATCTCAGGGAGATTTAACGATATTTTTGCAATGTTATTCTGTTTTCTTTTTGCTTGGCTTCTACGTGTTTCTCTGTGGTTTTTAACGATCCTTTTGAAATATCTTTGTTTTCAAAGTTTCCTTTTCGTGGTCGGTCTAAAGGTTCTCTTTGTTTGCCGTCCTTTTCGTCAGCAAAGTTTTTAAGAATGCCGGAACCTTTCTGCCTTTTACTCTGTTGGTGACTTTCACATGAGTAAGCTTAAAACCTTTTCGTAGTCAACCGTCCTGATTCGTATCTGATTTTCAAGTACTTCTCTTGTATCCCAGTGGCCAGCCGGCGTCATTCCTTCTGTATAACATATCACTCACTTCTGCTTCAGCCAATCTGCTTCAATCCCTTCGGATGTCTAATTTCTGCTGTTCATCCGCTGACCCGTCTTAAATATCATCAAACAAACCTCAACTTTAACATTACCGAAGGCATAAACCACTCTTTTCTTTGGCCAAAATAGCAGGGTAATATATTTTTTCCGAATTTGAAAAGATGAATCCCCAACAGTCCACCAAGATAGTTATTTCTGGTTGTCCATTTTAGAGCCAATTCTAAAAAAAAGCACACACAATAAAACAAAAACCTTTTACACACAAATGAAACAATTTCTTTGTATACGATAAACCTAGGCTATTTAATATTTATTTACTTACACTTTTTAATTGCCGTATTTGACGGCATATAAGGCGCACTTTTTTTTTTTTAATAAAAATATCTTTTAAAATTCCCCTGTATTTTATATGTCATATGTATGTTTAAAATTCGCAGTAGTCGGCCGAAATTAGTTACCTGGCAACCTATTGTCATTATTTAAAAGGCTATTATGCAGATTAAAAGTGTTATCATTGATAATATTCATTGATTTACCCACCTGAAATTAGGGTGCGGCTTATACACCCGTGTGTGTTATATGACGTCAAATAAGGTAATTATTATTTTTAATTATTTTATACTACTAATTAATATTTTTTTTTAATATAAGACATATTGAACGAAGGAAGAGCAACGGGATGCAGCGAGTAATCTACTTGGTTGGTTTGGGTGAATGAGCACAAAAAGAGAGAGATTGTGAAGCGTCAAACGTTGCTTAGAACAACAAGGAACAGCGAGTTGTGGAGAACCATGATCGCCCATGTCCTGAAGAAACATGGTACGTAAAAGAACAAGACAACATCCGCTTTTCTCATAGAGCGTGCGATCAGAACGTTAAACTATTTGTGATCGATCTTTAATAAAAACAAAAAAACAAAAAAACCTTTTGGTTTAAAAACGCTAGAGGCGTAATTTAAAAAAAAAATTGCCATGGATTTCTCTTTTTGAAACATTTAAGAAATTAAAAGAATGAAAAGTAATAATTTAAAAAAATTCTAGGGTCTTGAGAGCATGTTGAAAGTGCGTTTCTTATGTAGTCATTACGTGTATATGGGTGACATTATAGTTGGAAAACAGATACAGCTTCGGGCGGTATTTTCTGTCTCTTTGAATTCTGGTCTTTTAATGTCCCCTCTCTTCAAAGTTTTTTCTCAATTTCTTTCACTCTCAGTAACCTCCTGCGTCGTTACAGCTTTATCGCCTTGCTTGGGGTGAAATGGTAAATAAATAAATAATAAAAAATTGAACAGCGTAGAGCTAAATATATTTGGCATATTCATTTCAACATATCCTGAGCTACATGTCAAACGTCACATGTTTGTTGAAAGTATTTTTGTAGAGGAGAGTGATTTTTAGTACATCTTGCGGTCGTGACTAGCTTGGTATCTCGTAGACAAGTTTGCTATAAGTTTGTTTCTCATTGGGTGCTCGACTACTAAGGTCTTGCGCCAGACTAAGCTGAGCTCAGTGAATAGTGCGCCGCGACGTGAGATATTAGTTAACAAACTTGTCTGTTTGGTTGTGTTGGTTGACTACTGCAGAGAGTCCGATCTTCACAAGTGTTCCACATTTATGACCTTGTGTCAAACTTAACTGTGTCAATCGATAAGTGTTCTATTTCGTGTGCAGAAGAGTCACAACTGACAAACTACTAACCTGCTACAATGTTATAAGTGAAACTGGAAAGTAATCCTGTTATTAAAACATCATCAGTTGTGCCCCTCACTTAAACGACTGTCAGTTGTACATGACCTAACTCTATACTGTTATTTAGAGCTATTGTTTTGACTTGACGACCATTTACTGGGCCCACGATCCTGGGGGAAGACAACGACTTGAATAAAAAGTGACTAAATGGAATTGATAAATATACACGTACACTGCTGATAATTATGGTTGTGAAGGATGAATTGAAAGAAAACCTAAGAATAACAACTAATAATTTAAATAAAATAACCCTGCTTATTACTGAGTACCAGATCTACCTTCAATAAAGCAATTATATTATTATTCAACTTAATTTCAGTTAAAAGTAGAAAAATAGTTCAATTATGATGATTCGATTGTTCAATGAGACCTGAGATGTACTTATCAAAATGTTGTGATGAGACTGCATACTATTTTAATTTTAGTTCAGCTTATGGACTGGATACTTATTCAAGTCGGGGTATGACACAGGGCCGGTGCAAAGCCCCGACCGTGGAGGGGGCGCAAGTCTGATTGGAGGTCTCTGGGCAGTGTTTTGTGACCCTCACTATCTTATCAACATTTGCTTTTTTTTTCTACCTACATTTATATACATTACAAATTAAGCACAAAAAGTGTTACTAAAGGTTGAACAATTTTTGCGGACTTTTTGTGATTATGGGGTCCAAATTCGTAAATTTGCTTTGCTCATGCCAAGTTTGAAAAAAAAACCCCAAAAAACACACTATACAAAAAAAAAAAAAAAAAAAAAATTTTTTAAAATTATTCAACTTTTTAACAAGAAAAATCTCAAGTCGTGGTTAAAAATTGCCGCAAAACATCGTTGATTTATTTTATTTAAGATGGAATAATGACATTGACATGTCTTTAATTTGTATTTATACATTGTATTTATTTTCAATTTTTCCAGTTGAATTGTTCACCTTGTCATTATTATACATATTTGGGTTAGATTAAAATTTGTGTTTTATACCTTATGAAAATTAAGATGTATAGTGGGGTCCCGTCTCATAAATTCTAGGTTTCCGTAGATTGCACCGCCCCTGGTAGGACACACAAAAGAATTTGCAAACTCATTTTCACAAGGGTGGCGGCAAATGTTATTTTGGGATTATGTCCCTACTTGGCGCGGGTTCGCATTAACAACATCCATACTAGCAATTTTTTTTATTAGCTCATCATATGATTTTCATTTTATTTTTAATCATCCATTTGTTTCCCCCAATTCAATTCTTTGCTAAAAAAATATTATTTCCATCTCGTGCCACAGATTGGTGTTCGAGTCAAGGTAAAAGCAATTTCGAAGGTTGATTTTCTTTAGCTACAAGACAGATGTACATAATATAATCATTTAATCTTCCTCCCCCAAAATAGGCTTCGTCGTATATTGCGTTAAGCTGATAACCATCAAGTGGGAATTATTAACAGTTAACAAGGCCAAAGACCTTCTAAAAGAAGAACCAATGTCAAGGTCACCGGACAAGTTGTTTACTAAAAACCATGTGACCTACCGGGAGTGTCTGACCAAAAAGAAAAAAAAAAAATTAGAACTTTACCCTATGAATTTCCCACCCAGCTCGGGACTTGGTCTTAACTTGTGAATTATTTAAACTGAAGACTCGTCTTTTATGAGCAAAGATATAAAAATTAATTAACCTATTTTTCTTTTAAAGAAGTCACAAGATTTTTATATTGTTGCAGGTTTGTAAAGTTAATATTTCTTTTGGAATTCCGTTTTTCAACGTTGTTCATATTTAAAAAAAAAAATACTCTGTGGTAAGTTCACTTCTTTCAAACAGCTTTTTGTGTTTTAGTTTGTTTTATTTAGTTCTTGTCACCTTGTGTTTTAAAAAGGGTGGACACAACCATTATTTGCTGTTGGGAAAAACAAAATTTTTTACATACTTTTAATTTTATTTATCTTTAAAAAAAAAAAAGAAAAGAAAAAAAGGCAACCATTAGTGTTTGCGATACGAATGAATTTAGTTTTTAGAGTTTTTACAATGCTTAAAAGAAAAAGAAATGTAATTCCTCTCCAGACCTGTTTATTTCTTCCTTCCTTTTTTTTTTTTTAAAAAAACATTGTCCTTTTACTTTTTTAAAGGTTGTTCAAATGGCAAGCAGTTATTTTTCCAGTCTAAAATTAGTAAATCTTTCCTGAGTTTAAGCTTTTGTTGATTACTACTACTACTTATATACAAGCAAGACATTCTAGAAATATATTATTTTTAAAAATATCAAAGTAAAGAAAGATTTCTTTTTTTTTTTTTTTCTAGAACAGCCCAGTGAAGTCAGTAATGGAAGTCAACAATAATAAAAATAAAAAAGGAAAGAAAAGCAAAAAACCCGAACACCCAACAACAACAACAAATAATAACAGCAATAAATCAAAAAACAATAACCATCTGAATAATAATGGATCTACCCAGAAAAAACCGAAGAATCGCAAAAAGCCCAAACGAAGGTAAAAAAAAAAAATATTTTAACGTTCTTCGTCCGATGTTTTCCTTTTCATTTTTTTTATGCCAAAAAATGTCTTCACTTTTCTTCAGGATTTTGAAAAATTTTTTTTTTTTTTTTGCTTCGTTGTGATTGAAATAAACAAAGATTATTATTATTTTAATTTGTAGCAAAGAGTTAAATACTTTAGTTAATTTTTAAATTTAGCCCCCCCCCCCCAGTATTCTCAGTTTTTTGGGGGGGGGGTCGGCGCAACAAAGATGAGGATAATCAGATTTAAATAATAAATCTTCAAAATTTACACATTTAATTTTTTTGTTTCTTAAAAAAAGTAAGTCACTTCTGTGAAACTTGTTCGTTTAAGTTTTAAAAAGGAAGTCGTCTTGTTTGAATTATTTTTCTTTTGAAACTTAATTAGTTTTTTATTGAAAATATTACGACTTAAAAATCCCTTATTTTCTCCTTTTAGAAAACAAGAAAACTGGTAAATCAATTCCTAATTTTGTTACCCGACCAAATAACTTAAAACTAAACTTAGAGTTACACATAATTTGCATTGAATTCTGGATTGAACAGAAAATTTAATATTTGATTTTAGGGACAGAAAACTCTTTATTTACATTTTTACAGTAAAGGAAAATAAAAATGTATTTCGTATTTCGAAATTAATGCTTTTTTATTTTTATTGGTGGGTTGGGTGAAATAACCTTTTCGGAAAGTTTCCTAATGGAAAGTAGGCAACATTCGGTCTGAGTATGTTTTTATTAAAAACCGTAAAAAAAAAATGTAGGTTAATTTTTAAATCCAAATCTCTTTCATCTGATTCTCATTTTTTTTTTCTGGATTAACCAGCACGGATTGGAAATAAAATAAATGAGCAAATTAGGATTTTTTTTACCAACAAACCTACCAGGATTGACTAAAAAAAAATCGCTAAATATTTGAAGGAAAGCAGACTATACTTTTTAAAGGAAAATTAAAAGAATAAAATTATTTTAGGCTCTTCTTAATTTCAGTAAAATATTTTAATTTTAAGAACACCGAAATATAAACTCTTCTTTTGAATTCTTTAAACGCCAACGGTTTAGTTATTTATTAATTAGTATTAGTTGAATACGGTTAAAAAATCGTTAATTAAACACTGACAATTACACTGGCCTTACAAAAAATTTTTTAAAAAAATTACTTTTTCAAATGATGTTTTTATTTATTTTTTGCCTATTTTTTAGAAAGAAATTGAAATATCTTAGTTATGTCAAAAAAATACCCTATTTTATTTTTTTTTTTTTTTTACTGGCAAATACTTTCTTTCCTGGCTTCAACTGGGGTAGTTTGAAATTTTTAGCTAAATCTCTATCTCTCAATGAAAAACATCCTTCAGGAGGGTCTGGGGATCATTATCCGACACCCGAGGGGTCGTGAGCAGTTTTTCCACGTTCAAACTGACTTACCTTGTATCCACATTCGGTTGTCGAGTTGTTACTCCGTAATCAAGCCACCGGATAAAATCGAATAATAATTGAACAGAAGTTTTAGAAAAAAAAATAGAAACAAAAAGAAAACTCAACATCAAGAAGAGACCGTTGAAATTTCTATGGCATAATGAGAAAAGAGGACTTGAAAAATCTGATACTCACAGGACAGACTGAAGACAACAGGAACAGGAAAACAACGCATAGCGAGTTTGAGTAAAAATGGACGGCAGAACAAGGTTTAGGAGAGAACAAATACATTTTGGTACGAATGACAGGAAGTTGTGGAGAGCCATGATACGTTTTGATGGGAGATTGCACATAAAGAACAAGTGGGCAATTTCGGTCAGCAATAATTCAAAGAGTTGAATTAATGTTGTTTTTGAAGTTTCAAGTCGATCATTAACTCCGGTTCCTATTGAGAGAAGAAGTCTGATGCTGTTTCAAAACCTTAAACTTGTAACAACAGTAGCTAAACTTTCTTTAGTGCGTTTTGGGGAGAGAAAAATGTTCAGTGTACCACAAAACTAGTAGAAAATGTCCACCCCCACTGAGGATATTAACTCTTGAATTGTACCATTATTTTATTTTACTTTCTAATACAGCAATCAATCCTGTTTGTTATCTTAACTTTCGGGTAAATTTTCATTTTAACACCCGAGCGTTAATATCTCTTCAAATTTTTCCAAAATAGTCTTATTTCTGTGCAAATGTATATGCTGAACTGAACTCAAATCAACAATTAGATATTGAAGAAACCTACTTTTTTTTTTTTTTTTTTTTTTTTTCCTCCATGTTAACGACTTTTTCCTGGTCTTTTGTCAGACATTACCGGCTTATTGATAAGTAATTCAGTGCTGAATGTTGTTGGTGGATGTATACAATTTGGGCCTATTTACTTCCTTGTAGTTAACTTTCAAATTAGGGTTAGGTGTTTTTTTTTTCTTTCTTTGTTATGCTTTTATTTGTCGATGTTTACATATATTTGAAAGTTAACTTTCTTCTTAAATTAAGTAAAAAAAAAAAAAATCGCTTTACGGAAGCGCGTACTAATTTCTGAAAGAAAATAGTTCAGCAGTGAATGACGCTCGGGTGTTAAAATGAAAATTTACCAACTTTCGTGACATATTTTGTACGCAGCACATGAACACTGGGCTATGTACACTATTTTGCTTTCTAGGCTTTTAAATATATCCGGTGCGTAATATTTCCTAAAATTACTTTCTTTGTCAATGTTCTAGTTTACGGGCGCAACCGCTCTATAACGAACCATGGGATGACTTCATATTCATTTGTAATTTCAAAAAGTAAACGTAACCCTCTTTATGTAAAAAGTCAGAACACGCATAGAAAAATAACAAAGATAAGGGCAGTGTTTTTGTTAGTCCTTCCCCCACCCCCAAGCTAACGGCAATGATTTTAAGGTGAGGTAAACGTAAACTTGACCCCCCCCCAAGTAAAACGTTATTTTATTTCTCAACGGGTTTTTTATAATTTTTTTTTTACTATATTAAAACTTTTGACAATATTAATCTTTTCTTAGCTTATTTTCGAGGGAAAAGATGTCAAAATATGAGAACTTTTTGCTTGACAAGATCTGAAAGCAAACTCAACAAAACAAATATAACTTTAAAAAGGCTGATCGCTGAGGAGCAATGTTGAAAATGTTATGATTCGCAAAGATCAAATTGCTCTTAAGGTACGTGTACGAATTGAGTTTTTAGTTTGCCAGGAAAAGAAAATGCAAGTTAATTTATTTATTTATTTATTTATTTATTTTTTTTTTTGTTAGACTTTCGTAGTTTAAAAATAAAATCATTCCTCCTATTTATTGAGGGAAATCCGGCTGATGTTGCATAAAAACTTTACCCTCATTTCAAGGTACATTAGGTTGGTGGAGAGAGGAATAGTGTTTTTTAAAAAGCTAGAACGACAGACCATTTAGTGCTCCACACTTTGGGCTAAATTAAAATAAACATAGTAAATATTAATTAAAACAAAAGAGATTGGTTTAAAAAAAAAAATGAAGCCAGCTATTCTGTTGTTTGAGTATCAAATAATAATAAAAAAAAAAAAAAGTATGAAAAATATTTTTCCTACACCTAGTTTTTAGGGCATCTCCAAATTCATACACCAGAACAATTTTTTTTTTTTTGTATATCAGCGTCATATTGCAGCAACAATCTTCACAAGTTCATTTTCCTGCAATCGACTTGTTTTTAGTTTTTTCTTTCAAAAGTTTAAAAAAGTTAGAGCGAAATTTCTTTAATTTTTGCGCGTTCAAGTTATGGCCCCAATTCTCTAAACTTTTATCAAGGGATTTTTTTCTAATCGTGTTTGTTTTGTTTTTGTTGTTTTTTTTTTGTTTTTTTTTTTTAAATTCTCTTACCAGGATTATGTGTTCTGAAAAGAATCGATCTTTTTAAATGCCATGCTCCTTCAAGATGTAGGCAATCATGGCTATCCACCAATCCTTTTCTTTATTTGTGAATTGTCATGACTTCTTGTGGAAAGATAAGAGTGGTTTTCCGTTGTCTTAAGAATTCAGTTTTTCTTCTCTTAGATCAGTTGTCACCCAAAGCTAGAGAGGCCAGACCATAGCTGAAGTGTGTTGGGGGCGGTGGATTCATGCCTTTCGCAAGGGAATTTGTGCGAAAGTGAACGCAACAAACTAGCCGGCAATTTAAATTTGAATGCGTATATAATTCAATAACTAATTTTACGTAGGTTATATTTTCGAACTAGTTTAAATTCTGGCTTAGGTAATTTGTGTTCACTTATCGTCATGAAATACATGACACTAATCACTCCAGTTTAGTTCAAGTTAAAGTCACTGTTGCTTGTACGAATTTGTAATGATCAATGAAGTGGACATCATCAACAAATACAACTAGTTTCTGTTGCTCTCTTTCTCTAAGAAACGCCATGTGTGTTTGTGTAAAACTGAAAATCAATTGTACCCCATTTTTATTGCCAGTTCGCTTCTCTGGATAAATTCCCTGGAGCTTGTTAGTTCTGTTAACACTAAAATTTTTTTTTTTTTTTTGTTGGTTTGTTTATGAAAAATAATAACGTTTTCTTTTGTTTTTTTTTTTTTTTTTTTTTTTTAAATTTAAAAAAATTGACATAAAGACAATCATTAAAGTTAAGAAAAGGGAGCGTTGTTAAGATTGTCGATAAAAGAAAATTAGAATTTAATATTAAAACTATTAATTTTAAACAAAGGAATTTAATAATTTATCTATATAACCTTCCTTTATTAAGTTTATTTACCCCCCCCCTTATATTGTAAAATTTTCTTTTGGCTATTATTAATTTCTTTATCTTAATATTCAGGTTTTTCTTGTTTATATACTAAGATGTCTTAATTTTTTTTTATTATATTGTGGATCAGTCTTCATTTAAGGATTCACTTGGATTACTTTCCCACAGTTTATCTGTGTGTTAATAAAGGTTCCGGATTCTGATTTTTTAATCTGGTCCTCTCACAAAAATGAACATTTTTTTTTTTCTTTAGATATATTTACTGTAA